TGTGTGTGTGTGTGTGTGTGTGTGTGTGTGTGTAGGGGCTGAAGGCTGCTGCTCCTAGCTTCATCTGCCTCAGCACCAGGCTCGGCCTTTTGGAAGGACCTGAAAGCCTCAGAAGATTTAGGGGAGTCACAGTGAATTCCAGGAGGGGAAGAGACACCACCAAAGGCCCCAGTTTGAGGATGGAGGAGGAGAATGTGGAAGGTCTGGGGTCCACAAGGGCAGTCTCCATTGTCAGCTTCAGGAACCTTACATGACTCCATGCAGTTGCCCTCTCCACAGGCATTGCTATGATCACAGGTCACCCCCTCCTAACAGCGCTGTCTGGAGCCCCATCCCTTACCCCAACCATGGGGGTGGGGAGGCGCACAACAAGGCCTGGGCCAGTAGCATTATGGCATATGACACTGTGCTCCCTTGCTGGCTTTGGGAAGTGCCAGGGATGAACTCTGTAAATAGAAAATGGCATCGCTAAGTTCCATGGCAGCCACAAGGCCTGAGCCAGTGTCCCCAGAAAGACCAGGCTGTGGCCACAGGGCTTTGGCATCAGGAGCACAGCTTGCCCCTCCCAGGTCTGTGGGAGCAATAGGAGGAGAGGGCTGGCTGAGGCCATCACAGGACAGACACGCTGAGCCCAGCTTCCAAGATGGGAAGCATACTTGGGAACACGGGGCAAAATGGGGTGCTTCTCCCTCAGGTCCAGCCAGGCCTTCTTCCCAGAAAAGGGGTTCTCGGCAGCACATAGCAGAGGAAACAGACCCAGGGAGTCTCGCCCAAGGCAGGGAAGGGTTAGGGCTTGGAAGGCCATGGGGTTTCAGTCTGTGAGCCTCTGGCCTTTCTACAGTCTCCCTCCTTGGGCCTGGGACCATCTGAACTTCTGTTTTCTTTTCTTTTCTTTTCTTTTCTTTTCTTTTCTTTTCTTTTCTTTTCTTTTCTTTTCTTTTTCTTTTTGGTTTTTCGAGGCAGGGTTTCTCTGTAGCTTTGGAGCCTGTCCTGGAACTCGCTCTGTAGACCAGACTGGCCTCGAACTCAGAGAGATCCACCTGCTTCTGCCTCCTGAGTGCTGGGATTACAGGTGTGCGCCACCGCTGCCTGACATTTGTTTCTAATGGGAGCTGTGACCATGCCTGATACTCAGCATCAGGATGTTACTCACCCCCTCTAGGGAGCTGTCTTCATTGACAAACAAAAAGAGGAGCTTGGCTAGGAGGCAGGGGTGGTCTGCCCAGTCTTCCATCGTCTCCTAGTCTGACTTCCTTTAAGAATGTGCCCAGTCAGCTCAGTCCCTCCCCCTTTGCCCATGTCCCCTCAAAGGCCATAAAATGACTGCCATCCCCCATACTATGTCCATGACCGGTCTTGGATCTGTAGCTGCCCCTGCATGTGGTCTTAGCCAGTTTCCTTCACAGGAGTAGGGGGACACATCGGTGCAGGCACTGGACAGCCACAGGTGTACAGCTAGGAGTTGAATTTCCCCGGCTGGTGGCTGTTCATAGACGCTGCTTAGACGCCTTTGCCAGGTAGAGTGGAAGCAGAGCTGGACTCTGGAGGATCAGGGTCAGAGAGCTTCCAGGAGGAGGCGGTACAGCTGAGGCCTGTGGGCAGAGTGCATGCTGGCCTGTGAGGCTGAAGGCCAGCCCACACTAGGATCAGAGTGGCAGGGACAACCCGCGTAAAGGCCCTGGGGAAGCGGGTCAGTGCGTGCAGCGTGTCAGAATGCTAAGGCCCTGGGGAAGCGGGTCAGTGCGTGCAGCGTGTCAGAATGCTAAGGCCCTGGGATTTTGCAAGCTGAGCTGCAGCCCCACCCTGTCTCCCTCTCTAGGGCTGGTATTTGTCCATGGCTGGGAGGGGGAGCAATCACAGTGGACACAGTGGACACAGGGCGTGAAGAAGAGGCACAGAAGGGCAGTTAGCACAGGCTATCCCTATGTATAAGGAGGAGGTGGGTAGCCTCGGGGACATGGGCCGCACTTAGGAAGGACATTCTGCATGTGGGGCACTCTGCACACAAAATCTCCTATTACCGTAAATTCTCACGTAAGGGCAACTGTCAACCACATACATAGATAGGAAGCTAGAACCGAGAGAGGACATACCGCCTACTGAAATCACACCGCCTGGAAGTGCTACGGGCAGGTCTTGAGCCCTCGGCACTCTGTCCTGGCCATTGGCAGAAGCCAGTAATTGCCCCCGTCCCCCCTCAGGCCCCCCTCAGGCCCCTCAGCCAAGGGAGGCCACTGGCCTGAACTGTCTCTCTGCACCCCTCCAGTGGAGCGTCCGGATCCTGCTGTCCATCACAGAACTGTCAGGCTGTAACTCATACCGCACTCATCTGTGTGATCCCCACAGTGACGACCAGTGATCCCGTAAAAGATGGGCAATTTACCAGGTTTAATTTGATGGCCACATCAACTATCAAACACAACAAGGGAATTAGAAGGCCACCAGGTGTCTGGGCAGTTTAACGGCTCCTCCAGAGAGGCTGCAGTCTCCCTCCCCAGCTGGGTCTGGCCTGTTCCTGAAACTCCTGGGGCTGAGACTGGGGTTGGCCTTGGGGAAGCAAGGTGGCCAGGGACGCTTGGGCAAGATGGATGGGCAGCAGATAGGGAGTGGAAAGGCCTTGGGTCCCTGCCTCCCACTGCCGCTCCGTTATCCATCAACCGTCTCTGAGAGGTGCAATTTAGACTCTATTATGATGCAGAGTCTCGGGAGGCTGGGGACTGTGGCCATGAGCTCAATGGGAGGAGAGCAGATGTCCGTGCCAGAGACTGTGGTGGCAGCCTTGGCTTTGGCCTTAACACGTCTGGCTTTGCTCAGGGCATTGGCCCAGAACAGCCAAGGGCAGAGGCTTCCTGTGTCCCTCAAGATAGAACTCATCAGCTGGCCAGGAGGAGCAGGTGTCTTCTGGCCAAACTCAGGCTCAGGCAGAGGTGCTGGGCCACAACCCCAAGACAAAGTGAGGCAGTCTGGGAGCAAGCCAAAGCCCTCTGTCTCCAGCCTTGCCCTGTCCCGCTCCTCATCCCTGTTCACAAAGTGACTTGTGATGAGACTTTCAGGCTCCTTTAAGAGAAGAAGACAAGTGTGCAGCTGGAGGTCTGGGTGTCTATGACCTTGGAATGGCTGGGCCCCTTGCCTCTCTGTACTACAGGCTTCAAGTTGTGAAATAGAACAGCAGACTGTATATACGACCATCAGGCACAGCACAGGCTGCCTGTGAATACAGACGGGGCTGGCTCAAGGGGTAAGCTATTTGGGTGTATATGCTGTCTTTAGCTTTGGATCCCAAGGTAGTGAGCACAGCAAGAGGATGAGGTCAGGCCTGGAGCAGCTTGGGATGCCCATACCACACACAGAGCAACAGGAGTCTGGTGAAGACAAGAGAGCCCAGGCTGGCTGGGCCTCGGTCTTGGTGGAGTAATGGAGTGATGCAATGAGATTCTAGGTCTGGGGGCACATCTGGATTCCACAGCCTCCTGCCAGCAGGGCTGTGCTGCAGTTTCTTCAGAATGGGTAGGTACCAATTTCTTTGTAGAAATACTTGACAAGGGCCTGTTGTGTACCAACAACTAGGCTAGACCCTAATGGGTAAGAGACCCCAAATCCCTAAAGGAAAGCACACGCTAACTGGTGATGAGTCTGTAAACACTGAGCAGAGAGAAGGCATACTCTGGGGTTACAGTTTTTGGCGAGGTGACCAGGAAAGGCCTCACCTGTAGGAAGTGTGGGGCAGCATGTGTCTCTGAGGATCAGCTCTGGGAAGAGGGAAGTGTGACTCGGGGCAGCAGACGGGTCCAGCTGCTTCAGAGGAGAGGGATGCAGTACAAAATACCCCAGTGCCTGCTGGCTGGCTGGAGGTGGAGGAATGGTGGGCAGATGAGTGGAGGAGGCAGGTTAGGGAACAAACACTGCAAGACAGTGAGAGAGAGAGACATGAGGAGAAGAGGGCTCCAGGAGCTTCAGCAGGGACCAGCTTGATGTCAAGGCTTGTTGAGGACTACCAAGGAAACAAAAGACCTCAGTGGACCCCAGGGCAAGGTCGAGGGTGGGACAGAAGGGCTCGGTATACAGGGAAGGCCACAGCCTGAGGAACTGTGGAGCCGGGCAAGGGGGCCAGGCAGGCTGCATAAGTGAGTGAGCAGGGAGAGGGGTGAACTGGACCGAGGGATGCATGGCTGAGTGGAAGGGCAGAGCGCAGGTCGCCTGGAAGACCCAGCAGAGGCTGCGGTGGTGTGTTCGCAGCATCCTGAGGGGGAGGGGGAGGCCACCGGATAGAGAAGAGCTGCCGGGAACAGAGAGGGAGGGGTGAGGGAAGGGTGCCGTGTAGGTGAGAAATGGAGACACCGGATTCCTAGAGCATCCTGGTGAAGTCCCCTCTGGTCACTCAGCAGGAGCTGCTCATGCTCCACACTCCAGAGCTGTCCTCCCCGAGAGAGAAGCCATCACATTCCGCCCTGAAAGCCTCCTTGACCCTGAGTTTTACTGCAGACCTTTGCTAGCTGTATGAAGACACCCCTTTTTACTGAGATTGAAAGATAATTTCTCTTTAATTGATTTTTTACCACTGTGAACAGTAAAATAATGAGAAAACTCTATGCTGCAATTTTTCTATTTGCGAAAACTGAAATTACACCTTGCAGAAAAATTTCCTCAGCGTGCAGACAACACCTCCCTCCTTTACTTGTCTCATTTCTTTAAATCAAGAAAGCTGATGTGTAAGTGTGCGTGTGCGTGCGTGTGTGTGTGTGTGTGTGTGTGTGCGTGCGTGTGTGTGTGTGTGTGTGTGTGTGTGTGTGTGCGCGTGTGCGTGTGTGTGTTTGCATATGTGTGTGTGCCCTGTTATTTCCGCTGGGGAGAGACTAGGTATGGAATAGTTCCCCAAAAACACAGAACACGAGCCAGGAGTCAGGTCTGTTGACACTTCATTCTGTGTATGGAACACATGGTTGACAAACAGGACGTAGTGTTTCACCACCAGACAATGAGCTCAGTGCTCTCACTGCCCACCACTGACAATGTCAGCTGTGTCTTTCCTGAAGGTTGTGGCGACACGCCTCTTGAGCTCACGGCCTCCCAGAAACAAGCTTTTCCTTCAGACCCTGAGTCCATTCCAGAATTAGGCCTATCCCAGTCCTGTTAGAAACGATGGCCCCATGTGTGTGACCCTTAAAGATGGCTTATCAGGAGCTGTGAGGTCACAGCCCCGGATGCAGCAGCGCACATGAAATGCCCTAGGGTGCTGGCTCCTCTCAAGGACCAGACCCTCCTGATGAGATTCACAGTGAACATCAGTCACCCTGGCCGGGGAGCTCACCTGTCTCCAGACTGGCACGACACAGGCCTCCCTTGCCGCCTGGCCTCAGCCCCGCAGGCCCAGCTCTCCTGACTCCCTCCCCGGGCCCTCTCACCGTCTCACACTCAGCACACCTCTCTTGTGCTCCTTGCAGGTGTTGAGGCTCCAGGTTAGGTGGGTCAGGCCTCCACCCGCTGTCCACCATGGTGGTGGCACACCCGACTGCCACCACTACCACCACACCCGCTGCCACCGTCACAGCCACTGTCGTGATGACCACAGCCACCATGGACCTGCGGGACTGGCTGTTTCTCTGCTATGGACTCATTGCTTTCCTCACGGAGGTCATCGACAGCACCACCTGCCCTTCAGTGTGCCGCTGCGACAATGGCTTCATCTACTGCAATGACCGGGGACTCACATCCATCCCCTCGGACATCCCTGACGATGCCACCACCCTCTACCTACAGAACAACCAGATCAACAACGCGGGCATCCCTCAGGACCTCAAGACCAAGGTCAAAGTGCAGGTCATCTACCTGTACGAGAATGACCTGGACGAGTTCCCCGTCAACCTGCCCCGCTCCCTCCGAGAGCTACATCTGCAGGACAACAACGTGCGCACCATTGCCAGGGACTCGTTGGCTCGCATCCCGCTGCTGGAGAAGCTGCACCTGGATGACAACTCCGTTTCCACCGTGAGCATCGAGGAGGACGCTTTCGCTGACAGCAAGCAGCTCAAGCTACTTTTCCTGAGCCGGAACCACCTGAGCAGCATCCCATCGGGGCTGCCCCACACCCTGGAAGAGCTGCGGCTGGATGACAACCGCATCTCCACTATCCCGCTGCATGCATTCAAGGGTCTCAACAGCCTGCGCCGCCTGGTTCTGGATGGCAACCTGCTGGCCAACCAGCGCATCGCTGACGACACCTTCAGCCGCCTGCAGAACCTCACGGAGCTGTCGCTGGTACGAAACTCGCTGGCTGCCCCGCCCCTCAACCTGCCCAGTGCCCATCTGCAGAAGCTCTACCTGCAGGACAACGCCATCAGCCACATCCCCTACAACACACTGGCCAAGATGCGGGAGCTGGAGAGGCTGGACCTGTCCAATAACAACCTCACCACACTGCCTCGAGGCCTGTTCGATGACCTGGGGAACCTGGCGCAGCTGCTTCTCAGGAACAACCCCTGGTTCTGTGGCTGTAACCTCATGTGGCTGCGGGACTGGGTGAAGGCCCGGGCTGCGGTGGTCAATGTGCGGGGCCTCATGTGCCAGGGCCCTGAGAAGGTCCGGGGCATGGCCATCAAAGACATCACCAGCGAGATGGACGAGTGCTTTGAGGCGGGATCGCAGGGCAATGCGGCCAACGCCGCTGCCAAGACCACAGCCAGCAACCACGCCTCCGCCACCACGCCCCAGGGCTCTCTGTTTACCCTCAAGGCCAAGAGGCCAGGCCTGCGCCTCCCCGACTCCAACATTGACTACCCCATGGCCACCGGTGATGCTGCCAAGACACTGGTCATCCAGGTGAAGCCACTGACGGCAGACTCCATCCGAATCACATGGAAGGCCATGCTACCTGCCTCCTCTTTCCGGCTCAGTTGGCTGCGTCTGGGCCACAGCCCGGCTGTGGGCTCTATCACGGAGACCCTGGTGCAGGGGGACAAGACCGAGTACCTGCTGACAGCCCTGGAGCCCAAGTCCACCTACATTATCTGCATGGTCACCATGGAGACTGGCAACACCTATGTGGCTGATGAGACACCTGTGTGTGCCAAGGCAGAGACGGCTGATAGCTACGGCCCTACCACCACGCTCAATCAGGAACAGAACGCGGGCCCTATGGCAGGGCTGCCCCTGGCTGGCATTATTGGTGGGGCCGTAGCTCTTGTCTTTCTCTTCCTGGTCCTGGGGGCCATCTGCTGGTATGTGCACCGCGCTGGCGAGCTGTTGACCCGAGAGAGGGTCTACAACAGGGGTAACAGGAAAAAGGATGACTACATGGAGTCAGGGACCAAGAAGGATAACTCTATTCTGGAAATCCGAGGCCCAGGACTGCAGATGCTACCCATCAACCCATACCGCTCCAAAGAGGAGTATGTGGTGCACACCATATTCCCTTCCAACGGCAGCAGCCTCTGCAAGGGCGCCCACACGATTGGCTATGGCACCACACGGGGCTACCGGGATGGTGGCATCCCCGATGTGGACTACTCCTACACATGAAGCTGGCCACTCCCAGTGTGCTCACACGGCTCTGTCCAGCCCGCTGCAGTACCAGGAGCCAGGAAGAGAAACTCCGCAGTGACTTTCCCAGCAGAGAGCAAAGTTTGGGGAGGGTTGGTGAACACAATAGTAGGGTTAAATTTTATTTTAAACACATAGAAGGCAAGAGGGAACTTCAACATTGCTGGAGACATAATTTATACCAGATCACGAGAGTTAAGGACTAATAATTTAGCAGGAAGGGTTGGATTGGGCCTTTTTTTTTCCTGAACCAGATTGATACTACCTGTACAACATTTGTGTACACCTCGAGCTCCATCCTGGGCCATCGGAAAGAAACGGATGACCAATAGACATGATGGCGTGGAGCCCCCCACCCAACCATCCTGCACACGGTGACAGCTCAGTGAAAAGGTTTCAGTTCCTCACAAAAGAGCCAGCGGAAGAAGACTTTTTGCTACGGAGATACTGTCCTGAAATCTCTTCCCTGGTTCTTTCCATGCTGTTTTCTTTCCAGATCTGCAGAAATATGGCGTCCTCCGTGGTATTCTCCGAACAATACCATAGTCAATTAAAAAACAAAAAAACAAAAGTCGAACTTTTCCTTCCAGTGCCGAGCGCTTCGGTTCCAGTCACCCAACTCCGCAGAAGCTCTGACGGAAGCCGTAGCTTTCCGTGCCACGTGGAGGTGCATCTGTCTGCCCGCCTATCGCCATGTCACGTGTCTCAGTACAGATGGGTAGATAGAGCTGCGTGTCTGTCCTCTCCGCACTTCTTGGGTCAGCCCTTGACATTTCCTCAGACAATAGAATTGCAAAATTTTTGCTTTCTCCTAGAAATCATTGAGTAAGTAAGTAGACCATGTGTGGGGTGAGAGTGAGGTGAGGTGGAGGGGAGGGGCCTCAGCCAGGTGGAGGGGAGGGGCCTCAGTCCAGGTGGGGAGGGGAGGGGCCTCAGCCAAGTGGAGGGGCGGGGCCTCAGTCCAGGTGGAGGGGCGGAGCCTCAGCCAGGTGGAGGGGAGGGGCCTCAGCCAGGTGGAGGGGAGGGGCCTCAGCCAGGTGGTAGGAGGGGCCTCAGCCAGGTGGAGGGGCGGGGCCTCGGCCAGGTGGAGGGGAGGGGCCTCAGCCAGGTGGAGGGGAGGGGCCTCAGTCCAGGTGGAGGGGAGGGGCCTCGGCCAGGTGAAGGGTATTGCTATTTTTTAGAGACGCTCGTATCTGCATCCCAGTGGAGAGTTAGGAAAAATCTGGCTGATGGTTTGGATTCCATCCTGTCAACCTAGAGCCAGGCCTTTCTGACATGGAGAAAAGCTTTCCTTGATAACCAGTGCCCTCATCTGTCCCTCCCCATAGATCCCGTCTCCACGATAGTGTTTACTCTTTCTCCTGGGACAGGTAATTAGTGCAGGGACTGTTTATAAATATATGTGTAACACACACACACACACACACACACTGGCTAGCTAGACCCCATTGGTTTCCATGGCTGCTCAAACAAAGCCCAGAAAAAAGAAAAAAAAAATTTCAGAAAAATCCCTGGGAAACATACACACATGCACAAAATCTCAAACATGCCCACACCAGGGGCTCTGTTCTCAAAAGGGAAAAATCAGATTTCTTTGTAAAAAACATCAACCTCCAAAAGGGTGCTGACCGGGGCCCTCAGAAGAGCTAAGATTTTATTCCCTCCCTGTGGAATCAATGTCGTTATCATTTATCAACTGACACCACAGTGTGGTGAGCCATGAGATTAAAACGATGATAAAATAATGACAGCAAACCCAGAAGGAGGGAAGAGCGGTGCCCGCGGTTCTGATGTCCGCCTCGTCCTGTACTGGGGAGCCCGGGTCACCGTCTGTCAACGCGTTCCTTTGCCCTGCACTGGGAAAAAAGTCATCAAAGGAAGACACTGGTGTGAGGGCAGCCGCATGAGAAGGGGTCCAGCTCCTGACTGTGTTTTCAAGAGACCTCTGCCACTCTGTCCAAAGCAAAGGCAGGGAGCAGCGGCCAGCCAGCTGACCCAAGTGTACCTGGGGGGCCATCCTCTTGCTGGACATTAAAGAGCCAACTGGCCCTTCGGTGAAGAGATGAAATACAAAGAAATGGACCGGCAGGTGCCCCAGAGTAGTGGACAGAGGAACAGGCTCCTGATCAGAACCCAACGGGTCATCATACCAAATGGAGACCCCAGCCCACCAGCCCCAGGGAATGGCCAAGGGTATGGACATGGATCATTGGAAAGGAGACCTTTCTTCCCTCTTCATCCCAAGTCATTTCCCCACATAATGAAGTCAAGCGAGAAATGTTCCCGAGCCTCAGATTCAGGTCTGTATAAACGTGCACCCTGGAGCCCAGCTGTCCCCAATGGCCCTAACAGCACCGTTGTCCTGGTGGCTTAGGCAGGCTCAGAGGAGGCCCATCTGTGAGGAACAGGTATGTGAAGGAGAGTCCCAGATGCCGAACAAGTCATCAGGGCACTATGCCAGCCTTCTCCGGGGTCCCAGGGAAGTAGAACCCCAAGTCCCCACCCCTACCTTGCACCTGTAATTCACCCTGTCCCCTAGGCTCACCCGTGTTCCCCTTTTCTATTCCCTGCCCCAGAAGGGTCTGGTCACTTTCTTTGGTGACCGGGAAAACTTCTGGAGCTGCCTGGAAGGCTGGAAGGCCCTACTTGGAGATGCAGGAACTTGTGGGCCAAATGCTAGAGCTGTGGTGAACTTCCTCCCCATCACATAGAGCAAGCCTGACCCACAGGAGGCTTGGCAGTCACAGGCAGAACGTCAAAACTTGAGGACCAAATCCATCTGCTCTATGGGGCTCACTGCACATTACACCAGTTGGAGAGCCCAGGGCTGGCACTGCCCCTAAGGAGCGCTAACACTGCCCAGCCGTGGCCCTGCAGCCCCTGAGAGACCTTCCTGTGTCATCTCGGCCGCCTCACGTTTTAACATTTTCCCAGTACTCTTTATTCTGTGTGGGCTGGGGATGGGAGAATACTGGAGATTGAGTCCAGGACCTAGCCATGCAAGGCAAGCACTCTGCCACTCAGTACCCCACTCCCCGGAGTCCTTTCGGAAAGCCCCCAAGTGTGACCTTTGTCCCGTTCTCCACAGGAGACGGAGAACCTGCCTTCTGGCCTCATGTTACAGTAGACGAGGTTGAGGGAAGCCAGGGTTGACCCTGGGAGGCCTATGGGATCCTGCCTTGGTGCCGCTGACATTTCCACAGGGAAGTCTGTGGCGGGCCAGCCTGACTCTCACAGTCTCTAACCAGCCAGAACAACCTCGGTGGCCTCAGCCCTGCAGAGTGTATTCTGTGGCATTTAAGCCAGTGACACTTCTTTGGTTAAGTGGTTTACCCTTCGTGGTAATTAGATGCAGCGATTGGAATCTCTTTTTCTATTACATGGCCATTTTACTTTAAATTTCCTCTTTAAAAAAGAATGGGGAAGAAAAGGCAAGGCAGGCGAGGCAGCAGGCCACAGGCATTTGCATTTTGCCAATGAAGTCTCTGGTAGGCTCAGCTCAGGCGTGGGGCCCAGCGTATGGAATGCTTAAGAGATTACTAAGAATAAAATCTATTAATTAGTCATACTCAATTCCACAGACATGACGTGAATCAAAAGCTCCCTTTCTTCCCTCATCTGCATCCTCTTCCTGAGGAAGCCTCCATCTTCCCCGAAAGGCTGCCTCCTGGCCTGCCTCCTCCTCAACGTGGAGCCCTTCTGTGGCCCTGTGTGGGGGATCCTGCCTTGGTAGCAGGTGCTGGGACACTACCCCTTCCTCACCCTGGGCAATGCTGACAGGGAGGTGACAGCCTCGGGAAGACCACTGTGGCCAGGAGTCCAACCTTCCCTTCCTGGAGCCAGGAGCCCGTACCTGTCCCACGACACCAGCCTCTCCTTCCTTTCCCAGGCTTCCAGCAGGCCAGCTGCCCAGCTCAGCCCCAGCAAGGGTGCCAGGAGCCCAGTATGCACACGTGAGGCTTTCCGTACCCCCCTTTAAAATGAGGGTGACTGGGGTGGAGGCTTGCTTCGCAAAGGCCCTGCGAGAGCAACCCCTCCATGCGGAGGAGTCTGGAAGATTCTAATGGCAAAGCGGGGGGTGGGGGGTGGTGGCGCTGCTGGGTAGGAAGGGCCAGTGTGGACTACAGAAGGGATGGGCAGTGTGTCTGGAATGTGTGTCAGGTCTCCCAGCCTGAGCCCCTCATTCACTGCCACTGGCAAGAGGAGTAAGGAACAGGCCAGAGCCGCACTCAGGACCCTTCCCACCCAACCCCCCACAAGTGGCAGCAGTTCAAGTCCCAAAGGCAGCCTTCCTCAGACATCTGCTTTCCGCTGACACACCAGGGAGGGGACCGGGGCTTCAGAGCCTCTTGCTTATGAAAAATACAACAAGGAAAATTGGATGCAGCAGCTGGGGAGCTTTGCAGAGGCAGCGGGGCTGGGCCCCAGTGGGCATGGTGGCCTGTGTCCCCCAAGGGCCAGATGACAGGTCACAGCCAGGGTCAGGACTGCAGGCCTCCCGTGAGCCACAGTGGCGCAGGTGACAGCAGCTGATGCCGAGGCTGGATGGGTGCCAGGATGAGCACTAACAAGCAATTCACAGGCTTTCCAGAGAGCAGAGAGAGGAGGCTTTTTTTTTTTTTTTAAGGAGGATAAAAAGGCTCAAAAATGCAAATCATTACCGTTTACAACCAAGCGAGTCTGCTAAATTGATTAGAAGAGATAAAACTCCTTGGAGGTGAAGGGAAGGGGGATTTTTTTTTGGGGGGGGGTTATGAACCTGCCCCAAGTGGCCGCCCACACAGCAGGCATTTTCCAGGCCTGGATGGGAGGGATAGCAGATGTCCCTGCCCAGACCCCTGAGGAGCTGGCATTGAAGAGCTCTGGTCAGGGCCACAGGGACAGGAAGGGTCATGTTGCTGAGACAGGTCATCCAGCAGCTGTACCAATCCCTGGGCAGACTGATCCTGTCATGTGGGATCAGTGTGCCTTAAGTGTGCCAAGTCACATCTGGATCGGAGGAAGCAGCCTGTGCCATCAGATAGAGAGGAAGATGCCAGAGCTGTGAGGTATCCTGTATCCTTATGCTAGGGACCTGCTGCTCTCTGGGGCCAGGGAAAGAGTGAGGCCAGCTGTGAAGAGAAAACTGCGGGCCAGGAGAGGGAAACTCGGGCCCAGCAAAGGAAGACGCAGTCAGTGAGCTCACACCCCCATGAAGCAGCCAAGCATTATCAGAGGATGTGACAAACAGCTTTCCTGCCTGAGCTAAGTAAGGTCTAGGTCTTTGTCTAGAAGATTCTGGTTCCCATGCTTGCTTTATCACAAACCCCAGAACAGGACATACAAAGACACCTTCCCCAGTCTGCTCAGCAGGTAGGCGAGGGGGGCGGGGGCGGGGGTGGGAATGCTGACAGGACACATGCTGGGCTCAGTACTCCAAGCCCCAGGATGTCCCTGGACTTGTTCCCTCAAACCCAGCTGCCTCACACCCAGGAGTAACCCACAGTCTCAACACTGCCAGCCTGACCATCCGTCACAGCCAGCTGACGGTGCCTAGGGCTCTGTTCAAACACACACCATTTTTTAGGCATTTGCCCATTCTTTTGAAGCATTCCAACTATTTGTATGAAATGTCCACATTGGCTTCTTTAAAAAACGACTGATAAGAAGAGTCCCTTTGCTGTCGTCCTACCCTTCAGTTTTGTGTTTTCCTTTTCGCCACCTCACCCCTACCTCTTGAGTCTGGCACTGAACTTCTGATCCTTCGATGCTACCTCCTTCGATTTTTTTTTTTTTTTTGAGACAGGTTGGCCTCAGACCCTCTGTGTAGCTGAGAATG